GCGGCTGGCTTGGTGGTGAGTTGCCAACCGTAGCAAATCAACCGTGCTGATGCGAGACAGGCAATCGTGATTCTTCTTGCTATACCGTTCCTGAATCTTCGTCTTCTTCGCAAAAGACAGTACGAGACCACGCTCAATCTCCATCGATGTCTCTCAGCTGCCGCCTTGGTTGCAACCTGGCTTCATTTGCCCCCATCATCTGGATGGGGAACGCCCCGAATATATGTCCTCCTGATAGCGACGTCGTTAGTAAGTCTTAAGTGTATTGCGACAGCCGCTACAATATTCCAAGGGAGAGGACGAGCCGAAATCCATCAAATTGCAGGGCTCTCCGAGGTTCGTCTAAGGCTCTCTAGACATCGGGATTTCCGTGCTGGGCAATATGTGTATATTTGTATACCAGGTCTCAGAATAACACGAGCCTCCTTCCTCCAATCTCATCCGTTTCAGATAGCCTGGTGTTATCGAGACGAAGATGGGCATGATGTAGTCGTTTTGCTCGTTGAAACACGAAGCGGGTTTACTCGCGACCTGGAACTCGCAGCAAAGAGCAAACGCAAGCACCTGGCCCTCATTGATGGCCCCTATGGCTATCATCCAAAGGTTGATCAGTTTGGCACAGTCATTCTCTTTGCATCTGGCATCGGAATAACTGGCCAGCTAATGGCCATGAAGGAGCTGGTTACGCTCTTCAGCAGTTGTGACGCAAAAGCTCGGCGATTTGTTTTGTTTTGGGACATAGAGGCCGAAAGTGAGAATGACCACCCCCAGAGTCCAAACCTGCTACTGACACGGGCCAGTCCATCGCTTCTGGGTCAGAGACTGGATGGATAAGCTTCTAGCCATGGACACGGATTTTGTGAGTGTCAGGCTCCTCATGTCAAACCTTACTAACCACGGAGCAGGTCCTAGATGTGCAGCTGTTCATACACGGGCAATTTTTCAAGAAAGACTCTGAAGGATCATCTCAAGCACTCGGTGGGCATGGGAGGATCAAGTTACATTTCAACCCGATGGACGTGCGGCAACTCCTTGCGAAGGAGCTAAGTATCAGGAAGGGCAAGACCCTCGTTTCAAGTGAGATTCATTCCCATGGATATGACCCTCCTCTTGCTAAGCCTCGACAATAGCCTGCGTCAATCGTAATACTTTCCGCGTAATCAATAAAACCCTTCAAGACGAGCTTGAGGGAGATTGGGAAATGGACAGCGGCGTTTTACTTCGTGAACTTGAGTTTTGTCCAACTTAATTGAAATCTATATCAATAAAATTCAACCACTACACAGATCTTTCAGCCCTATCCTTGTCTCTATTGAAAGTGACGATCGCCAGTCGGAGCTTGTCCAGAATGTAATCAACCTCCCCGGCAAGCTCTTCTCCGATCTTTCGCATATTGTGGAGGTAGGCAACCTCTGCTCGTAGACGGCCATTTTCTTTAGTCTTCAGTTCAATGATCTCCTTCAATGACAAGTCGGGCGTCTGCTTCGAAGCCTGGAGTGTCGCGTGGGAGGCTTCAAGTGCTACGGAAGAGCCATGAGCGTTGGCAATAGCCACATCGAGATCCCTAGGCGGGACAGGAGTTTGGGACAGTCTACTGTAATTTTCCATGTTACTTTTCGTTGCTTATGGCAGAAGCCTCAACATATTCCTAGTGAGAAGGGCGATCTAGAAATATTCCCGTGCAGCTGATGCGATTATAAAGTGCTAATTTTGGATCAGTCCAAAAATAGATGGACTCAGGGCCTTAAAAGAAGCAGCCCGATCGACGAAAGTCATGGAATAGACCACCACGCCCCCACTTCCTCGAATACACTATGGCATTCTCATCCCCATCCACGCCGTTGCGCTTCAAGCCCGTGGAAAATTTGCTTTGGGACGCATCGCAAGCGATTCAGGAGGCCCAAGGCAAGGTCAAAGAAGCCTTATCTCACGAGCTTGGTGGACGTCTGCAAAAACGCAAGAACCAGCATCACTTCCAAACTGAAATGAACAAGAATAGTCAGTTGGTCCGTGAGATCACTCAACTACGGCAGCAAAACCAGAGCCTGTATCAGCAGAATTTGCAGCAGGCAAAGCATCTTCATCGCTTGCAGTCGGAGGCCAACGTCAACGCAGAGGAGTTGACCGAAACCAAGTCGTCCCAATGTCTTCTGACACAGGATATCATGAAAATCTGCAGCGAAAAGGATGCAATTTCTCAAGAATTAGAACGAGTCAGAGAGCAGCAGGACATAGAAGTGCTCGAAAGACAAATTGCAGAGCTGGCCCTAGACCAGTTCAAGGATGAGGTCATCCAGTTGAAAGACGACTTCGAGCAACAAAAAGCCTTTTTGCTCGACAGGGATAAGGAATTAGAGGGGATGAGGCAAGCCCTGGGGCAATTCAAGGAACAAGTTTCCGTGTACGAGGGACTACTTACTGGGAACGAAACCACCGTTGAAGAGCTTCATCGCCAACTTAGCATGCAGTCTCTCATCAATGCCGGATTGCACAAGGCATTGGATGAGTGCCAATGTTCGGGAAAGGCTCAGGGCCCTGAAAACGTTGAATCCACCAGTCTGAAACGTTCTAGATCATCAACTCCTACAGTTGATACACAGGGAGGAAAAAGGCAGAAGACTAGCATTTGATAATGGAAATCGAAATCCATATCCTCGTTAAGTACCTCGTGGAGAAAGTGAATCCTATATATATCTTATATTATAGTAAATATAGAGGCCACAGGAGTGAGTGGTGATAACGAGTGTATGTAGGTGTCCATGCAGGAAGTGGCTGCAGGCAGTGTGGGCTGGAGAAGGCCCCATATGGGCTAGAAGCGGTGCCTGACATCTGGTGCCAGGTGGGCCGCCACAGTAAAAGGCGTAACTACCCGTGCCACGCCCCCCACTTCAATCATTTCGGCAAGCCTACACCCGCGAAGCGGATTTCTTAAATAACATATTGCGAGGCGGGACAATGCATACTAGCGCTACGCCCCGCCTTACGTAAGTCGGCCGGCTCGTTTTCTAGCCGATAGAGATAGTTCGTAGCTTGTTACCAATACAAGCCACTTCACGCACATATTTAGTAGTGGCGGTGTGGAGCCAAGCTGATGTGGCTTAGTAACCGAGGCCCGTAGCGAGCAATTGCTCAGGGCGCAGGCGTTAACAGAGCCAGAATCCGAGCGACCCAGAAATGGACACAGCATATAATGAGACAGCCAAGAATAGGCAGGAAATGGAACGAAGCCAGAAGAACATAGCCAGAACTAGCTTACTAGTAAGATGTTAGGGACCCAGCTAGTCGGACAAGTGTTGGCCCGCCCTTCCCCGGTCAGAACCTCGTCCCATCTCTCTCGCTTCCCATCAACCAAAAAATGGCGTTATAACGACCGCAGTTCCGCAATCACCGCGTCTTTGCATAGCTTTCTGTGCCCAGCATATAATATTAAGTATATTAAGTTTAACCTGATAGTTAATGAAGAAGTTATAGATCAGCAGGCTGCAAGCACTGGGAGGACAATTTCGGTAACGATGAGTTCTAGGAACGAGCTAATTATGTAGAAGACGTCGTATCCCTGCTTAATAGACGCAGGATGATGAATCGCGATGGCAAAAGTTGCCACCTTTCAAGATAGCAGTTGCGCCGTATTCATTACACTATAAATAACCATACAACCATACAATTATCTACTCAGACGGCTCTAAAGCGCCTGATGGGGCTACAGGGCTCGGCTTTGTTATCTACCGCAGCAATAAACGGATAGCCCAAGGGTGTGGCCGTCTTAGCATTGCAGAAGTATTTGATGGCGAGGCAGAGGGGGCGAGGGCAGGGCTCCAAAGGGCCCTCCTTACCTCCCAAGGCCAGCCTATACACATCTGCATTGATAACACCAGCGTCATCCAGGGGATATGCGGCAACATCCCAGACTCCTCACAAGCTGCCTTCTTAGAGATTCAGGCAGCAGCCAGGATATATACTATACAAACCCACTGGTCCCCAGGGCACCAAGGGATAAAAGGAAACGAAGAGGCTGATAGCCTAGCTAAGGAGGGCACAACGCTGCCAGTCCCCAGAGGCCTACTGCCAACCCTATCAGGGATTAAGCGGCTTGCTAAAGAACGCAAACAACACCAGCATAGAAAATGGTGGAAGCACGAGGCACCCCCCCGTTATACTCAGCTAGGGCTGAAGGCCACCCTTGGCTGCCCTCCTGAATTAGCTCTACCAAGAGCTATCCTTCATCATCTCCTAGCAGCTCGATCAGGCCATGGGGACTTTGAACAGTATCATCAACGCTTTAACCACATAGAAGCACTACTTACCTGCTCCTGCGGGGAGGCTAAGGAGGTGGACCACCTGGTCTACTGCCGAAAGACATTAGTGAGGAGGCAACGGTGGCCCACCCTCTACCCTTATAGTCGGCGGGAGCCTCTAGGACCTATGGGCTCTCTAGAGCAGTACTTTAAGGGGCTAATTATCGACTCAGAAGGCTTCCAGGCCTTCCTCAGCGCGACAGACTTCTTCCAGAAGATCTGCCCGCGGCACTAAGAGATAGGCTACAGCCTATACTCTAAGTAACGAACTACCTCTACTAGTTGAAAAATTAGCTATAACGGAACTAAGGCACCAGCGGGAACTAGGGAAGGATAGGACACATAGCAGCCTACGGGCAAGACTTGGAGGACGTTGGGAAGCGGCGTGTGCTTAGAGTATATAGCTAGAACCTGCGGCACTCCACGCCATATACCCTTCGGGAGGTCTGCCGCAAGGGCGCTAGCGCCCTTGCCGCCACGGCGTTAAATACAAAACAAACAAACAAACATTACACTATAATTGCCTTATGTATAAATAAAAGCATCCATTGTCTAAGGGTATCATGGAATCTCATGCCTACTTTCCCCGAACTGTAGTTCCCAGTCTGACAGGGCTGATGCAGAAGATATGGTATGTGGATGATCCATACTAAGAACGTTCCTTCTGAGGCGAACGCAGTCTTGCAGAAGCTGAATAGCATCTTTCTACTGATTCTGGGATTTCCAAGTGTCAGCCAGGTTGCCTATGCTCGACAGCGTGTCGGGATGCTCCTCTCCAAGCACCCTCAAACTCGTCTCCATCACCCGCACCTCCAGCTCCTCGGCCTCCTTCCATCGGCCTTGGTTCGAATACGTCGACGCCAGGTTGGCCATGCTCGTCAGCGTCTCGGGATGCTCCTCTCTAAGCACCCTCTTTCTCGTCTCCATCACCCACACCTCCAGCTCCTCAGCCTCCTTCCATCAGCCTTAGTTGCTATACGTCGACGCTAGGTTAGCTATACTTATCAGCGTGTTAGGATGCTCCTCTCTAAGCACCCTCTTGAACGTCTCCATCACCTGCACCTCCAGCTCCTCAGCCTCCTTCTATCAGCCTTAGTTACTATACGTTAACGCTAGGTTAGCTATACTCATCAGCGTCTCAGGATGCTCCTCTCTAAGCACCCTCTTTCTCATCTCTATCACCTGCACCTCCAGCTCCTCAGCCTCCTTCCATCAGCCTTAGTTCCTATACGTCAACGCTAGGTTAGCTATGCTCGTCAGCGTCTCAGGATGCTCCTCTCCAAGCACCCTCAAACTTATCTCCATCACCTGCACCTCCAGCTCCTCAGCCTCCTTCCATCAGCCTTAGTTGCTGTACGTCGCCGCCAGGTTGCCTATGCTCGTCAGCATCTTAGGATGCTCCTCTCCAAGCACCCTCTTTTCCATCTCTATCACCTGCACCTCCAGCTCCTCAGCCTCCTTCCATCAGCCTTGGTTAATATACGTCGACGCTAGGTTAGCTATGCTTGTCAGCGTGTTAGGATGCTCCTCTCCAAGCACCCTCTTAAACGTCTCTATCACCCGCACCTCCAGCTCCTCAGCCTCCTTCTATCAGCCTTAGTTCCTATACGTCGAGGCTAGGTTAGCCATGCTCATCAGCGTCTTAGGATGCTCCTCTCCAAGCACCCTCTTTTCCGTCTCTATCACCCGCACCTCCAGCTCCTCAGCCTCCTTCCATCAGCCTTAGTTAATATACGTCAACGCTAGGTTAGCCATGCTTATCAGCGTGTTAGGATGCTCCTCTCTAAGCACCCTCTTTCTCGTCTCCATCACCCGCACCCCCAGCTCCTCAGCCTCCTTCCATCAGCCTTAGTTCCTATACGTCGCCGCCAGGTTGCTCATGCTCAACAGCATGTCGGGATGCTCCTCTCCAAGCACCCTCTTTCTCGTCTCTATCACCCGCACCTCCAGCTCCTCAGCCTCCTTCCATCAGCCTTGGTTAATATACGTTGACGCTAGGTTAGCCATGCTTGTCAGCGTGTTAGGATGCTCCTCTCCAAGCACCCTCTTTCTCGTCTCCATCACCCGCACCCCCAGCTCCTCAGCCTCCTTCTATCAGCCTTGGTTCCTGTACGTCGACGCCAGGTTGGCCATGCTCGTCAGCATCCAGGGATGCTTATCCCCTAGAATTTCCGTCCAAGTGCTCACAGCCTGTTACACTATTACCTCCGCCCTAGAATAGTTGCCAAGCATCACCAAGTACTACGACATATTCATTAGTAACTTACTCTATTCCAAGCGGTTACGTTCTTCTGACAGCAGTTTGTCCAATAAAGGCTGCATATAGGGCATCAGCGTTTAATACTGCTGCCACGTTTCAAATTTGCCCAACGGAAAGTGTTCTGAGGCAGATTGAAGAAAGTATATCTTCTATTAGCTAGGAGAACCATATTCCAAGATCCAAACTTTAGTGCAAAATTGCGCTAGGGAGTACATCTCCAGGAATCCCAGCATAGCTGTCACAGTAACAAGTGAGTAGCTCCAGAGCACATCCAAGTTATCCTCAAAGTTATTACTACTAGTTTCAGTATGCTCATCATTGCTCTCTTCAGAACCTATATTACTACTACTATAGTTATATAGCATATACTTAGGGATGTTTTACGCCTAAAAGTAGCTTATAAGCAAAAGAAGGTCAGCTGCACTAGGCTGCTCCCGTTTGATCTGCTTAAACGTCACCTGCTATATCACTATAACGGAGTTAGATACACCTTCATAACGTTAGATATCCCCTCTATCGCTGCAAAGGAGGGTGCCCTTTTGCTGTTCGCTATTATAGAATTCCTCTAAATATAACTTAACAGTCACTTAAGGACTTCGTTTGTGAATATATGCCGCCGCTTAGTTTATAGCGAGAGGGATGCACTTAAGGGTGCGTATAAGGCGTAATACGACAGCCTCATTAACGTCTCAGCCCAGCTTCCTTTATAGAAGCTGTAAAGCCTGTTTTTCCTCTATTATTAGGACAGTGTAGACCATCTTAACGTTACCTGTCAACCTCTCTGCAGCATCCCAGCTGCGCAACGTAACGAGAATCTTGCTCTTAGTTCTCTTAGGAAGATATAATTAGTATATTTCAATACTATCCTTAGAGAATAGCATCTTAATATCATCTGTATTATTGATAATCATGAGCCATAGGCTCACGTCCTCTCGCTGCAGCTACTTGCAGACCAGCGCTAGGATATTAACGTTAGTGTTGTGGCGACCTAGAAAGGCTAGGACGTCTACTATAGACCAGTAGGACTCTTCAAATATTGCTTTAGTGTTAGCGTTAACCCAGAAGATGCTAGTTTCAGATGAGGTAGCGTGGAGTTGGTGAGCGAATTGGATGGCTATCTGGGATTTGCTGTCGCTTTGTTAGCAGAGGCCTTTCAATGCATCTGTTATAACGTACCCAAACCCGCCCATGCCCACGAGAGCGAAGCGACTCCCAGGCCCAGCATGCCGCTCTTCAATCCATGTCCAGATGTCGGATTGATTCACAAAATCAGGGTCGGAAGGAAACGGTACGACGAAATGAGGATTGCGGGCAATCGATAGGTCCTCAACTTTGCTGAGCTTGAGTACACCCTGTTCGACGCGAATAAGACGATGTCTTAAGAATTAGCAGGCGCTTCTGGGCAGGTGTGCGGGTTGCTCGTACGTTTGTTCCGTTTGGTGGGACTGAATGGTCTTGACTCCCGTTTTTGTTTCATCCGCCGTACGTTTCAAGCGCTTGACTCCCGCTCGTGTTTCCTCTGTTGTACGATTCACACGCTTCAGATCTCGTTGAACTATTCAATATTAGAAAGTACTAAGTAAACTGAATGTGAAATACTAACTAAAACCAAGCACTTCGCCAATTAGCTTCTCAGCTTCGACACTAGTTAGCGCAATCTGAAGTAAAAGATCCTTCGCATATGCTGCAGCCACCATGGCTGCGAAGCCCTGCCACTCCTTGTTCTTATGCGAGTCCGAGTAATCGCATATACCGCGGATAACTAAGCACAGGAAGTGGTTCATCAGGCCGGCCGCTTCCATTTCGAAGCAGGCAACGCCGTATTCAGCAGCCAGTTTATCCCGGATCGTGGCATTCTTCATGAGCTGATTCGCGCTGGCAATCAACCCGTAGTGAATCGCAGGGTCGTCGGTATGTTCACCTCGTTCGGCTCGGAGTATTATATGGGTTGGATCATCGCTGCATACTTTGGCGCATCCTTCTGACGTTTGCGGATGAATGATTTCCGATCGGTAGAGTCTGTCGCTTGCCGGAGAAGGCCGTGAGTACTCCCCCCGCAGTCGAGGCCATCGTTCCAACGCCTCGTCAATCGCGTTATTCAGCTGATGGCCTTTCCTCTTATATCGACTCTTGAGCGCGCTAACAGCTGTTCGTAGCAGCATGGGTGGTTGGTCTAAAAAGTCTGTGTGCTGGAAGGAAATATCCTGGTCCTGCACTGCCTTGCCGAAGTCGTACTGGAAGACGCCACCTTTGCCTCCGTCGCGGCTGCTGACTACAACATCGCCAAGTCGCACATCATGTTTTGAGCTGGGCGCCCCTCCGCCGATGCCGACCATGAGTCCAATGCGCACATTTGGAAAGCTATGCAGCATGTCTCGAGCCACAGCCCCAGCAGCGTTTGTACCGTACTCCCCATCCGGCAAGACAGCAATAACGACATTATGCCTCCCAATCTTGCCTGGAGCATAGTTGTTATTATCGTTTGGGGCAACTGGGGGACAGTCCTCATGTTCTTCGTCGAGAAAGGCTTGTGCCGCGTCGAACTCGGTGGGAAGGGCGCAGATCCAACCGACAGTGTAGGCTTTGGGATCAGCCATAGCCAGTATTTGTTTGAGTGAGAAATTGAGACGAGCGAGTGCTTGCAACGAAAGATGAAAGGGAATTGGGATAGGCAGAGAAAGGCGAGGGAATAAGTTGGCTAGGCGTGTATAGCGGGCGTCCTCTTCTATATGTTGGACCCAAGATCAGGCTGGCAGGAGTGAGCAAGATGGGGCCGGGGTACTAACGGGCTGCTCTGCTGATTGATTGGCGAAGAGCTTGCTGACCATGCCTCTTGGATGCAGCACGAGAACCGAATGAGGCATCCCATGATATATCTGTGCCCACAGTGGTGCAGCAACAGCTTGTTGATGCAGGGCATGGCGATGTCGTTATTGGCGCGTTAAGCGAAGTTGGCGGTGCTAAGTGGAAAAAGCTGACGAGCGCCAGCCACTCATAATTGGGCAGGAGCGGGGTTGGTGTAAGACGGATGAAATGCCTTACCGTCCGACTTCCAAGACCAACATCAGGCTCTGTGATGGCTTCAGAACCCTTATTGCGACTGGTTTGCCTGCGCGAGCATGAGGCAAGGCGGTATGGTACGTATGGTGAGAGCTGACACCATAGCGCCGTTTCCGATTGAGAAGAAGGAAGAGCGATAGGAGCCCGGCCTGGGGAGAAGAGACGGGAGACCAGCGGCTGTTGGTCAGGCCGTCGCTTTAGCCCACAAGTCAGCCGTTTCTGGCTGTACTCATTATTTGTTCCGTTCAATTTTGGCTCTAATAGCTATTTCTGGCGCTGAGTACTTGCTCGCTACGGGCAACGGCAGCTAAGTCACATCAGCTTGGCTCCACACTATCACCACTAAACATGTTTATGTAGGAAATTCCGCGAAACCTATTAACTACGCCTTTTATTACTGTATATATCTTGTTTGACCACCTGTAAAATTCTCTTTGACCACCTGCCCGGACCCCAACCTGCCTACCTTAGGTCCCGTCCCGATTAGGCGACTAACGATTAAACCTCCAAATGTATGGGCTGAGACCCCTATGAAGTGGGGGAAATAACCTTCAAATGTATTGGTCCGTCTCCATACGAACGACCATGCACAGTGGGCCCAAGTGCCAGCCCACCACCATCACGACCGCCCGCCGCCAATCCCACTCCGCCCTCCCACTTCCACTTGCGCGACGCCGCCGGCCCCCTTCGGAATCGGAACAACCACAGCCCCGCTATCCCTCCCTCCAATCTGTGGCTATGTAATCAGATAGATCATGGATGGATGGTACGCTCTCTGCAGTTACTTCCGCTGCCTATCCCTCCTCTGTCGCACCTTCCTCTGTCGCACCCTCCTCTGTCGCCCCCTCCTCCGGCGGCCTGCCCAACGCTTGATCGGCCCGGGCCCTGCTACTCGCCAGCTTCACCCAGCCCGGGGCGGCCTCCGCCGTCACCTACGCCTGCTGGGCCGACGTACCAGCATCACAGAAGGGGATGGAAGGGGTTGAAGCACACCCTAAGCTTGAGTTGAGTCATCATCACTTATGAGCAAGCGGCAGAAAAGTAGCTAATCAGCTGCGTTCTTCTCGGAGACACCCCCTTAGGTGACGTTTACTTTCCAGCCCTATTCATCAACGGACTTGCTAGCAGCTCCATCTCCCGTCACACGCAATACCCCGCCGCCCTCCAAAAGGCAACCCAAGGGTCAACCCTCATGCCTCGCGAAACTGTATACCCTTCCTTATCCTTCCAGCCAGAAGCCCAGCTTTCCCTATCGCCCCAGCATACCACCTATCCCATGATCTTGGCCGCCAGCTCTGCAGGGCAAGTGATGGCCCAGAACAGCAGCCCCATCGAGAAGAACGGAGGCTTGTCCGCGTCGGTAACCTTCCACTCTGCAATACAGTAGCCCTTCACGATGTCGTCCTGCAGCAGCTTCTGAAGGCTAGTCTCTTTATCATCGGAAGGATCGACTTTGGCGATGCGGAGGCCCAGGAGGTGCATCATCGCTATGGCAATGCTGTTGACCTGGTTGTCGGAGGTATCCCAGACCCTCGGCTCGTCGCTGAACGGGACGTCTTTGAAGTACCTGGCCGAGGGCTGGCGAGGCTTTTTGTTGCCGACCTCCAGGCACTCCTTAAACCACTCAACGTAGTGCCAGCCCAGGTGGGCCTCTTCGTCCTCGTTGCCGACGCCAGGCTTGTGGGGGACCCAAACGTGAATGGTATTGTTCTTTAGCTCCTTACGGCCCGAGGCATCCAAGCCAACCTCGGCCTCCCACAGCAGCGCTCCCGGGACCTCCTCGTCGCCATTCTTGAAGAATCTCATGCGGCCGCGCTTTTCGAACGCATTTTCGTTCCAGTCCCTTTCAATCTTGATGCCTCCAGTCATGATGATCGATAGCTTCGTCGTGCGGGCTCTGCGCGGCGAGTACAGCAGCTCATCGAACGCAAATGTGATAACCTTAGCAGCAAGTGGGACGGTGCAGAACATGACTTGGTGGGTGGATGTGAATGGCTCCCTCGTGAGGATGGTCTCTTGGAAAAGGCGCCGGATGTCTGCGTCTGTTGGCTTGTTCCGGAGAGCCTCCTCGCCCATTGACTCGGCAGCCTGCCGGGTAGTGAGGTTTGTGCGGATGAAATCCAAGGTGTCGTTGAGCGTGCGCTGCGAAGCCATCGTTGCAAGTATCACTCTGGGGACCCTAGGCACCTGTCAGCATCATGTAATTGGAAATAGCGCTGGAGATCCATGTGCAGCGTACTGTCCGTTTGGGTTTGATGTGTGATGCTCTTGGCCTCGGCCTGGGTAGTTGGTGAGGCTGAGGTGGTTGCTGGTGGTGATGTAGGAAGGGAAGTTTGTAGGCTGGGCTTGGTCCTATCGTCCACCTTCTAAAAAGGGGTTGTGTGATGAGGCTGTTGCGTAGGTTGGATCGTAACTGCCCTTAATGATTCACTACGCCTGCCTCCTCGCGTGGTGCTCAGGATGGCGCCTGCCGTAGAGGACAACCATCGCACCAATAAATCAGCAGCTCTTCTCCGTCCCAAAGCTGATTCTTTCTCCCACATTCACATCACATCAACAAACCTTTTAACCCTCACAACAAGCTTGGCTATACCTTCCTAGGCAGACCACTCTTTCAAGCTCTTATCAGGGCTGTTGCGTCTTCGTCGTTCTTTCCCCTCTTCTCAGGCTGCTCCTTCTCTTTCAAGACCGCAGGCTGCGCCCAAGGCCCTTCATCCACCGGGAAACAAAAATTCTAACGCGTTCTCTTCTCTTCCCCTACATCAACAGTAGGAGAAAAGGTTGCCTGCTCTTCCTTCCTTACACCCCTCAAAACTATCTTCATTACCCAGCCGAGCCAGCTGCTCCCTCCTTCACACATACTGACCACTCCTGACCGCCAGCGGAGCATCCAAAGGCACGGCTTCCTTCCTCGACAACCACCAACCGCCTCTCGGCAAGATGTCTGCTGCTGCTGCGAATCCCAAGCTATCGGCTGACCAGAAGCCGGACGAGGAGACGATGCTTTGTGCTGTCCGCCCTATGTTCATCAAGCCCGGCATCCTCTCACATGATGATCCCAGCCACAACACCCTCAGAACCTTCATCGATCTCCTCGACACCACCGCCACTGAGAAGGAGCAACGTCTGAAGGTCTCTCCTTTTAGGGCGGTGGGCAACACCTTCGACTTCAGCGACCCCGCCAATTGTCACCTTCCGAACGTCTGGCAGTTCGCTGACCAGGCCGACCTCGCCCGCCTGTACGACGCCGTTTTCCGCAGCGACAAACAGCCTGACTTCATCAAGGCGGCCAACCTCCAGATCTACATCTGGTTTCCCCAGCACGGGCCCCAGCCTTCCAAGAAGCCCAACTTTCACCATCTGATTGACATCCGGAACTTCACCCTCTACGGCTGGTGTGGATGTCTCCCCCGCGACAACCCGAAGGTCAGTATGGATGATCAACTACTCCCTATACATCGTCACTAACGCCCGGTGTCTGTACAGACAAGCCGTACCTTGGTCCTGACCACGGACCGGATGCATGACTGCACGCATTGGTCAAAGTACCCTGCCACGCCGGTCCAGTCCACACCCGGCAGCCACGCGACGGCGCCCCATGGCCCCCCTCCCACACGGATTGGCGTCATCAACGGCCACTTCCCCCATGGGGTGCTGTATCCACCTCCCCCGGAGGACGAGAACGCAAACATCGTCCCTCATCACATCTATGATGGCATCCACTTGGACCATAGCCATGGACGGGCACTACCGCCCCCAGGCATCCTCTCGAATGACCGGCCTGCGTGGCCTGAGTCTCCCATCGTCCCCAGGGAGATTTACCTAAGCTCCTCGACATCACAAAAGTAGGCCTAGCCGGTAGCCACGCCACAGGCTCCAGTAAGTCTTGACGGTTGGATTCAAGCTAGAAGAATGCAGGGCACAGAAGGCCGACGGACACACTCATAGTCATGAGGTTAACGACGAGGTGAGGGGGCGGGGAGGAACACTACATGTGCACATTGCATAAAGGGCGAAGTTCGCGGGATCATGAGTACGGCAGCGATTTGCAGCTGGGGATATAGTGTCTTATTGAGGGCTAGAAAGCTATCACATGGCGAGGACGATAACGCTTTGCGTGCGCACAAATGTATTACAGTGCGATAGACCAAAGCACCATGAGCAAATCACTCCCAACCATGATCCCAGTGAAGCCCATGCCAGAACTCTCGTTCGAATGGCCAACAGCTTCCAAGAATGGCAAGAAAAAAGAAGAAGCGCACCAAGTAGTGGAATTCCCTCCAGAGTGAAATGCTGTGCAGCCCGCACTTCTCCCCAATTCCACGGTCGGTGCGATAATCAAGAAACCCAAATACTCAGCCAGGGAAATACTGTATATGTAGTAATCAACCCACAGTTAAAGACTTATAGTTCGAAGAAGAACAAATCAATCTAAATCGCGATATATACATTTAAATTGGAGTTTTACTGCTGTCGCAGATACATATAACAATATCCAGCATTTGTGGTGGCCCAACGTCAAAAACGACTTGAAAGTTGTTGAAACCGCTTTGTTCAATGAATACATAATGTCCCTGCCCCATCAGCTGGCAGTCCACGGTTGGGAAGCCTGGCCAAGACACTGTTGATATACTTTTCATAGCTGTTTCTAGAATTCCAGTGAGCTGTGATGACTTTCCTCAACAGTTGCGTCGACTAACGAGTTGGGTGCCAGCTGTTGTCGAAAGGCACGGTCAAGTGTACCACTTCCCCAGCTGCGCTACCTGCTGTTACATTGACAGCGCCTGCCAAGTCGCAGATCTGACTGCCCGGGTAACTCTCCATTACACTCGATATCGCTCAGAAATTGACTCAGCTGGAATGGATCTTACTATAGCAAGCAAAGTCTAATAGTAATTATCGTTAAAACGAATGCTTTTGCACTGCAATATGCCAGGCAATTGCTGTTGTATATAGCCCTGCATCTATGTATTGTGGTTGGTGGTGTGATGTTCTCGCATGTTTCCATTTTTAGCATATTAAGTTCGAGTGCTGCTCCTCGTTGGTTGCCCACGAGTGCTATCCCTAGCACCTACAGGGGCTCTTGGGCATCGCTGAGCCCCGGGGGCGGCGGCTAGTGCCCATAGGGTGCACGCTAAATTTAGACCAACCTCATTCAAGAGCACTACGAGAACGCCAGTCTTTTGCTCTATTTCGGCCGCCAGGATGTATAAAAAGACCTACTGATCCATCATGATCCGGATACTCGTTTAGTCAACCACACACTCGATCTAGACCAAGCACTTCATCATACCAACTTTCTACACTCATCAGATAACATGCTGCCTACATCTTTGCTGGCCATCTTAGCCTCTGCTGTGCCAGGGACTCTCGCATGCGTTGCCCAGATGCCATTCGTTGCCCTCCGAGCAACCGTTGGCGGCGTCACTCAAGAGGCCTCAATTCCGTTGTATAAGGCGGACGACTGCATGTACCAGACCCCTGGGCCGATCGTGCCGGTCAGTTTCCCCGGCAACGTGACCGAGGCCGAGCTGAACCAAAACTTCGTCGACCAAAACGGCCAACCTATGAGTGTCGAAGATTTGAATGCGTTCACTAGTGCTGCTGGAATTCATCAAGCAGCGCTGTTGGATGCGGTGATCTGCAACTTGACCACCTATAGTGGCGACGATGTTGAGCTTCAGGCTGGCAGCCCAGTCGTATTCGAGCAGGCCCATATCACAGAATGCCAATGCATGTTAGCTACGCCCATGCCTGCTCTCAAAAAGGCATTCATCCCCAGAGCATCCGTTCTCCAGCGTCACCAGGCACTGTCGAAGAGAAGACGCTTGGTGCAGGACGGCGACCTCGGTAGCATCGCGCCAAATTCTCCACAGACTGATTTCTCCGGTGGCCAGCAGCCCAGTCTAGATGTTCCAGAATTCTCGGGGAACCAGGGAGCTGAGCCTGCGCCTGATGATTTCTCAGGAGGGCAACAGCCAGCGCTTCTGAACCCTACTTTTTGCACGACCCCGGACGACGGGTCACTTCAGGATCCGTTTTGTGTAGAGGGATAGGCTTAAGGGCGAAAAGAGAAGAATACGCCACTGTAATGTTACACATTCCCGGCGCCCTTACGATTGATTGTTTCTCAGTTTGACGTTAGTTATTAAATTTTTAGAAGTAGTTATAGTTAGTTTAAAGAATCTATGAGTTTCTGCATCGGTGTAAAATTCCTTTTTCCAAGGCTTAGAAGTATAGTGAAAAGTGAGAAAACTGTTTTTTGCCACAGTTACTTGCCCTGAACCGCTTGTAACGATATCGAGAACAAGAGCGCAAAGAGACCTCGAAGCTTTCCTAGTCACAAAAGCCAAACCACGTCCTCGGTGTTGCCCTCTGTGAAACTGGATGTGGTCAGTGGCTGCGGTACAGCCACCTCTGAACCCCCGGAAGCCAGCGTCGAGGCCATTTCGAGTCTACGGCCAGCAAGTGGGAGGTGGGAGGACGCGGGAGGGGAGGCGAGGAGACATGGAAGAGGGAGGGGAGATACCGGTACAAGCCATACCAGTACAAGCTATACCAGTACGAGCCATACCAGTACTAGCTATATCTTGAAATAAATAGTACGGGTGCGAACATACTGGTATAGGCTGTACTAGCACCAGGCATACTAGTACGAGCTGTACTGGTATATCTTGTACTGGTATAGCTTGTACTGGTATGGCTTGTACTGGTATGGCTTGTACTGGTATGGCTTGTACTGGTATGGCTTGTACTGGTATGGCTTGTACTGGTATGGCTTGTACTGTTATATTCGCACCATGGTCCGGCATGGCCTGAAATTATTCGTAATGACTAATACTGTTATGGCTCGTACTGTTATGGCTTATACTGTTATGGCTTATACTGTTATGGCTTATACTGTTATGGCTTATACTGTTATGGCTTATACTGTTATGGCTCGTACTGGTACGGCACGGCGGGCTGCCTCATACCAACACGGATCGTACTTGTAAAAATAACTCTGACGGATATGACGTAATGACTCGCGCTAGTACCACTTCCTTTCTAGGTCATCTGTTCTAAGTTAAGCTATG